TATATATATATATATATATAGATAGATAGATAGATAGATAGAAAGAGTTTATTGAGGACGGGTTCGGAGGTTTCTCTGGTAGATACTAGAGTATAGTTGGTGTAGTTAACGGTTACACCTGGAGCAGTCATCAACCAGTCAGATACCATGAGTTCATGTACAGTACTGATGTAGCTACTTTACACTTGTAAACTGATCTAGTCATTACCAGGAGTTCATGTACAGTACTGATCTTGTAACAGTACTCCTGGTACACTCATCTAGTCAGTACCATGAGTTCGTGTACAGTACTAATCTAGTTACTGTACATCTCATCAAATTTAAGAAAAATTGGTGTTTGATTTCAACAGTTAGGGACGCAACCTAAATTTCTCTGTTAAGGGGCATATATCTAGAGTTGAATCGAATTAATAAAAATACAATACAATACAATACAATACAATAATACATGAGTTCATGTAAGTACTGATCTAGTTACTGTACACCATGTACACAATGGTTAATATAAATATTTACGACGTCGACAGCTATACACCACATGCATACTTATTATCATTCAGAATACCATGTTATTCAACGTTCATTTACACTGTACAGTGTACATATTACCAGTACACATTTGTATTTGTAGAAATTGTTGGTATGGAGGAATATACACCACAAAACCCCATATTTTGGTTTTCTTAATGAGTGTATTGCAGATTATATGATTTTGTCAGGCGCTCCTTTAAAAAAAACTGCAGTACGTCTTAAATTGCTTCAGAGATATGTATATATCTTCTTTAGTGCTGTATTTGGTTATTGGTTACATTTACAATTAGTCATGCAAATAGAATATCATTTTACCATAAAATATACAATATACAATATACATAATACAATATCCATAGTTCAGAAGTACATACATTAAACACACCGTCAGTCTTTGTGTGCTTTACTTACAAGTAGGGTTTGAAGCGAAAAGGAAAATTTGTTTCGCGAAAATTTTGCATTTTTCCCCAAACAAATTTTTCTCGCATTTTTGGCATTTCGCTCGCTCGCAAAAAGTGAAAATTTTCCCTTTTTTCTCGAAATTTCGCTTCTACCTCCTTGGCGAAAAAAATTGGAATTAAAAAAAGTATTTCCGAAAAAGACAAAAAACAGCTTCAAAATGGTTTTCACGGACAATCTTTTTCACAAAATTTCGCTTCAATACAATTTTGTAAAGAGTGAATAAGGAAAACCTGTTTGTCAGAGAGTATGTATACTACAGTGTGTTTGATAATTTTTTTACTTGCGTGGATCACTGTGTAGTATCATAGAGTGGCATGGCAATTATATCAATACAATGAAGACGACCTTTTATTTAAGTTTTGATTGTTAACAAGCTTTTCTAGAATTACAAGCTTACAAGTAATCAAAGAGAAGATTCTTTAATTGACAGCGTCTCTTGATTTCTTTTTTAATGTGTATATATGCTGTTTAACAGCTTTATATTAATCAAAATTAAAACTGAAAGTCGTCTTCATTGTATTGATAAAATTGCCTACCACAGTATGATGTACACATTATTAAAATGCTGGAGTTAATGTTTTGAGACATTGGTTCAAGTGTCCATCCATGCAAAGATGGCAATGTCTGATCAGGTTTGAATTAGATATCATTGTTTATAATCCTAAAAACTGATTATTATTCTTAGGGGTGTCTCAACAAATATAGAAATTATAAGAATCAAACACTTTTGAATCTACAAAACGCCAATATCCTGGAAAAAAGAAATGTCGTCTTAATTTAGTTTATTCTTAAATTTTCTTAAATGTTAAACAATCAAAACACTGGAGACTGTTGTATTAAAATTTTTCAAAATAAAAGAATAAAACATATTTTTCGTTCCAAAAAAAACTTCAAAAAGAAAAAATAGTTTTAAATATATTGAATTTGATAGTAACCTTTTATACACATTTGAATTTAAAGGTTAAATCATAATGATTCTTATTTGAACAACGCCATTTAAGCATTTTTTTGGATTTTATATATTTTTCTTTCTATCGTCATTATTGTTTTTTTTCTTTATG